TTATCCATTAATGACAACAACTTGGATGTGGCCAGTCAACCAGTTTCAAATTCAACTATCATAATGCTAAAGTAAATCTCTCCATCTTGTCCACAAGGTAAGCATAAGAGGCTCTGTCCATAGAAGTGGAAGAATAGCCTTTAACTATACCAGTTAGAGTAGGCCATTAATATATGCCGTTTTCTCCAACAGTATTTATTTAAGTATTCTAGCTATATTTTTATTTTTCTGTGCCTCGATTTGCTCTATGACAGAGAGATAATATACATCTGGGATGAATGGTTAAACACAAAGGACCATTCAACTATACTAACAAAAGACTTTTGGTTAGAAATTCAATAGGAAAGGTCATAGAGAAGTATTCCTCTTCTATATAAACCCCAGTAAAAATCTGAAAAGGACCCCAGAAAGACCAAGGATAAAGAAGACTAAAAAGAAGCAGCAGTAAGTTCCTCATCCAGGACAGACAAAAAGATGACTAGAAGTCAGGTAGAAGGATTTTACCAGATTTGTTGTTTAGTCATTTTCAGTTGTGTCCAACTCTTTATGACTACTTTTGGGGTTTTCTTGGCAAAGATAATTGAGTGGTTTGCTATTTCCTTCTTCAGTTCATTTTACAGATAAGGAAACTGAAGCAAACAGAGCTAAATGACTTGCCCAGGGTTTAAGTGTCTGAGGTAGGATTTGAACTTGGGTCCTTGTAACACCAGGCCTGGCACTCCATCTACTGTGCCACCTAGCTGCCCCAGGAAGGATTTTACCAGGAAGACTAGCCTAAAGCTGAGTGAGATGAGGAAAGGAGCCAAGCCAAGGAATATAGTATGAGCTCTTACAAATAGATGTAAAGCCAGCCAGCACTCTAAATAAGAGAATCTCAAGCCAGTATACTAGTAGTTATGGACTGGAAAACAGATCTTGACCTTCTCTTAGCAGAACAGAAGCAGAGATAGAACTAGACCCATATATTTCTGTGCAGAGAGACAAGACCCTATCATGTCTGGGAACCGAAAACTGGGAGTCACAGCAGGCAGGAAGGCCAATTTAGCAGCTGAGTACTATCTTCGGAGCATATGTGTAGACTTGAGACTAACATATCTCCAATATCCCACAAGGGCCGATCACAGACAAAACAAGGGACAGAACCCACTCACAATTAGGGATTATGCAAAGAGAAGAAGACAAAACTCAATACAGGCCATAAAGACACTGATATGAAGGCCAGGGATTGAGGGTAGGCCTTATCTCAGCCACTCCATTTGGATGGGTAGCAGCAGGGATATCCAGGGCAGACAGACAAAAGGACTTGTGGACTTTGGCTGGCATTCTGGGGTAAGGAGTATAGCAAGCCCAAGGCAGTATATCAAGCAAAGAGTAAGTTGAGAAGCAAGTTGCAGTGGTGTAGGTCAGATCCCAGGAGCTGAGCAGGGTCTCAGCTCCAACTTCTAGCCCAGTCTAAAGCCTGCAAAGGGCAGGAATCTCAGACCAAAGGGGAGCCTGCAGTTCTGTGACTCTGAACCAGCAGAGATTCCCACCTGGCTTATAGTGGCTGAGTCCAACAGCAGTGTACAATTACTCAGAACCAAACCCAGGTTAGGAACTTCAAGAGTTCAGACCAGGGGACTATGAAATAGACTTTGTCCTGGATCAGACCACTTTGAGAACACTGAAAAGTTTGCAGGTGCCCAGCCTAAGCTATCCCTGGGAGCCTGAAATAACACAAAATTCAATACCTCAAGAAAGCAGTAACAAAACAATACAGATCTTTCCCTAAGTACACAGCCCTAATACCAAGTCTCAATTCAGGAAATAGGTTGGAAGAATGAGCAAACAAAAAAGAATTCTACTACAAAAAGCTATTATGGTGACAAGGACACTCAAGACACAAACCCAGAAGGAGAGAATGATTCCAAAACATCTATAATCAAAGCCTTAGAAAAATACATACTTTGGGCACAAATTCAACTAGAATTCCTGGAAGAACTGAAGCAAGAGCTTAAAAAAAGGTCAAAGAAAGGTTTTGGGTTTTTTTTTCTACAAATGAAATGAGAGTAATTGAGGGGGAAAAAATAGGAAAAGAAATGACAGTTATGGAAGAAAAAAGTGGTAAGAGTTAATTAACATCTTAGCACAAGAGGTACAAAACTCAAGCCAAACTCCTTGAAAAATTAGAATGGATGAAATAGAAGCCAATTATCCATAAGACAACAAGAAAGATTAAAACAGTCAAAACACCACCCCCCAATAGAACAAAATGTAAGATATCTCATAGCAAAAACAACTGACCTGAAAAACAGATCGAGGAAAAAAGAAGTTCAGAATTATGGGACTACCTTAAAGCCATGACTTAAAAAAGAGCCTATACTTCATATTTTAAGAAAACTATGCAGACACCTTAGAACCAGGGGGCAAAGTGGAAATAGAAAGGATCCACTGGTCCACTTCCTAAATGAAACTTCAAAATGAAAATGCCCAAGAATATTATAGCCAAAATTTGGAGCTTACAAATCAAAGAAAAAAAATACTGCAAGCAGCACCCCACCTCACCCCACCACTGCAAAAAAAAAAAAAAAGAATTCAAGTACCAAGGGGCCAAAAGGATCAGCCACATTCGAAAGAACTAATGATATTCCAGAAGGCAAAGATATAGGTTTATATTCAAAAATAACCTATCCAAAAAAACTGAGCATAAGGCTACAGAGGAAAAGAATGGACCTTTAATGAAAATTAAGGACTTCCAAGCATTTCTAATGAAAAGATCATACAAGTTTTGAAGTTCAAATACAAGAGTTAAGAAAAACATGAAGGTAAACTTGAGTGAACAATCATAAGAGACAGAACAAGGATAAACTGCTTACATTTAAATATGAGGAAATGAGACATATGTCCCCTCTGAACCCTATAATCTTCAGGGGTCACAGAGGGAGATTAATCAAGGAGAGGGCCTGGGGGTGGTTTCTGTTATGCTTTGATGATCTTAAAAGAAGAATGGAAAGAAAGAGAATAGAAAAGGAATACACTGTGGGGGGGGAAGGTAGAGGGAGGGGAGCCTGAGGAGGGCAGGGCAGGGAAGGAAAGTTAAAGAAAATTATCTTATATAATCAAGGTATGGAAGTAGACTTCTATACAAACAACAAGGAGGGGCATACCTGAACCTTTCTCTCATCTGAACTTGTAAAAGGAAGGGAAGAATATATACACATTTAAGTACAGAAATAAATTGCAATCAACAAGAAAACAGACATATTTGTAACAGGGATTTTGTTCTTCTTTCATTCTCAACTATGGGAGTGTGGGGAGGAAAAAAGCAGACAATGTCAGTGTGAGAGGAAGAGAAAGCCAATTTCTGATGATTAAAATATGTACATGTATATGTGCAAAAATGTGTGTGTGTGTGTGTATGTGTATAAACATATACATATGAAAAACTCAAACTCTGAGGTTCTACCTCAAACCCATCAAAGTAGCCAAAATGTACTGCCCACCCCAAAGAATAATGACAATTATTGGAGGGGGGCTGTGGAAGGACAGGCACACTAATATACTACAAACTGGTCTAACCATTCTGAAAAGCAATTTGGAACTATTTCCAAAATGCATATAACTGGGTATACCTTTCTACCTGATGATACCACAAGTAGGCTTATACTACAAAGACATCAAAGAAAGAGGTAAAGGATTCATAGGTTCAAAAATATTGATGGTAGCACTTTTTGTTGTAGCAAAGAAATGGAAACAAAGTAGGGGGAATGAATGGCTGAACAAAACACAGTATGTAAATATTGTGCCCTTATTAAAAAGGAAAGCAGATTTTGTGCCCTAATTAAAAAGGTAAGGGGCAGAATCAGAGAAACCTAAAAGAATTTGTATAAACTGATACAAGGTGAATTGAGGCAAGGAGAATAATTCACAAAAAGACTACAACATTGTAAAACTAAATAAATAAATGTGAATGACTTAAGAACTATGATAAAAGTCATGACCAATTACACCTCCAGAAAACTGATGATGAATCATGCTTCTCACCTTTTGACAGAATGAAAAATGCATTTTCAGACACAGCAAATGTGTTGATTTGTTTTCTGTAAATATACTTATTCATAACAAGGGAGAGATTTAATGTTTCTTTTTTTTAGGAGAGGGAAGAGTAAAGATGGAGACAGTGATAGTGATGCTAAAAAAATTAAGAAAATAGTGCCAATGAATTGTTTTTTAAAAAAAAATAAACAGGAAAGCAAAAGAAGTTTAGAAGGGGATACAGAAAGGAAGAGTAATATTGAAACTAACATGTGAAATTTAAACCATATTTTTAAAAAAACAACAACCCATACTGGATATGGGGGGGGGGGGGAATGGGACTCAACTGTGTATAAAAGAAATTCACAGTTTCATATAAAAATAATTATTACTAGCAACAACTACATTTCTTAGAAGGGGACAGCAAAAGAATAAATGGGGAAGGGAAAATATGTCTTTCCTGAAACTGACCCCTAGGGAAACATCTGTGGCATTGTAAATTTGCCTGTAGTAAAAGAAAGGCTAATCCCACTGATAGGTGTTCTTTGAGGATGGGCTAATGTCCTGGAAAATAGACTGACTATATGTTTAATCCTATCCTACCCTATCAGTAGTGATGAGAAGCAGACATGATAACTCATATCCTTTTGCTAATGTAGTGTTTCAGAGTTTTCTGGTTAACAATGGGACACCAACAAGCCCCTCATTCTCTGTCCTTTGCTGCCATCTCCTGGTTGCTATTTCAAGTGTGGCTACCTAAGGTAAAAAAAGGTGTTCAGTAATTCTACTAGGAACAAATGTGGGTTTTCTTTGCTATTGCCCAGCTACTTTCCTTTTCTTGCCTGAAAACACAAATCGCTTTTCTTTGAAAACTTGGAGTTTATTCCTGGAAAACTGAAGAAAGATGCTCTACTGTAAGGGGGTTTGGGAGGGTATACATAATTCTGCACAGTGCATTTGTGTGTGGTGGGCTCTTTTACTCTCACCAGCATAAGATTCCCTGGGAGTATTTCTTCCCTGCAGGCCTCTGTTCCCCTGCTGGAAAAAATCACAAACACCAGCTAAGCAAATATATTGTACCAGTTCTTGGGCTTTCATGTCTCCCACCTTTATTTGAATAAACTGCTTCTCTTCCAGGGGGACTATCTCTAGTCCAAGGGACCCCAGGCCCTATTGTTCCTGGGGAAATCGAAATGGGCACTGTTGATCCAGATCTTGAATTAAACACTCTCACCTCCTTAATCTCATTTATCACAGGATTTTAGAACTGGGAGGATATTTTAGGGACAATCTAGTCCAATACCTTCATTTTACAGGTGAGTAAACCCAAAGAGGGGGAGTCAGAATTCTGGCTCTGCTACTGCCCATGTAACCACGGGCACCCTCAGAATTCTTCTGACTTCAAATCCAGTACTCTTTGCCTACGACTAAATACACCCCCAGGCCCCTCACTTTAATCAGCCTGTAACATCAGATCTTTATTACCAAAGGAAAACAGGGTTTGAGGATACTATGCCAAGAATGTACATCTAAACTTAAATGAGGCTGTGCTACTTAACATATCCTCCATCTTCTGTGTTTCCTTCAGTGGTAGAACCTCTCTTCAAGGAGAGGAAATGAAGATTACTCACCTGACCAAAGCTACCAAAGCCAGGTACTCTGTATGGAATGGATTCCAAGGAAGAAGATCGACTAAAAGAGGCAATATTAAAGCTTTTTGTAGCTGTGAAATACACACACACCTTACCTTTTTAATTTTAACCCACAGCATACTTTTGTGATCCTTTTACCTTCCCTCCACCCATCAGTTATTAGTATTACTCTGAGCCCAACCCTTCAACTCACCTGACCACCTGGTTGCTGTTCTGGGAACTGGGTCGTGGAGTAACTGAAAGAAAAGCAACTGTGGAGAGGTTGTAATCGTAAAGGCTCCCAGCCCTGTGCTTTCTTGTCTAGCTTGGGCACTATATATATATATGAAATAATCCTAGTTGTGAGCCTAATGTATCTACCAATACCTCTTTTTCTTTCTCACCTACATATAAAATGTGTGAATCCTAAGTGTGGCTTTTCAGATGAAACTGCCTTCCTCTTGGAGAAATCTAACTTCACTTAGAATGCTGTTCAATTTCAAAATGGACATGAAAAATATGTTTATTCACCTCACCTGTCTGGAGAAGTAACAATCTGCTATCTACCTGATTGTGATGGGGAAGTGATGCCTACTGGCCGGGGTGTGGTAGACCTGCAGAAAAGAAAAAGAGAGACAGAGAAAGAGAGAGAGCAAGGAATTGCTATTTCTCCACACAGAAATAAGTGATACAGAGGACTACATAGAGCAGAGCAGATAAAGAACAGCAACTTTCCTGCCTACAAATTGTTCAGGAGTTAGAGATATGCTTATTTAACTGTCTAAGGTGTCAAAAGATGCAGGGCAAATTCCTTTTCTCCAGGTGAGATCCCCTTTCTTTCCAACTGCCTAGGTAAGGTGTAACAATTTCCCTAGTATTTATAAGGAAGAAAATCCAAGCAAGTCATAGAATTCTTAGATGTTTCATCCCAGGTTTCTTACTCTTTGTTTTTGTTTTTTTTGTGAGACAATCGGGGTTAAGTGACTTGCCCAGGGTCACACAGCTAGTAAGTGTCAAGTGTCTGAGACCAGATTTAAACGCTGGTCCTTCTGATTCCAGGGCCAGTGCTCTACCCACTGCATCAACTAGCCGCCCCTAGGTTTGTTACTCTTCCCTTCCCACATTTGTCTCCAAAGACCCCTTCCCAGAGGACTAAAACCAAAAACCATCACAGACCCATTACTTGCTTTTCTTAATGTGTGCATGAGTTGTTAGGAGATAATAAAGAACATAAATTTCAAAGGAAAGCAGGTATGTGTCTGTGAAACTGACCTGCTTCCTTGGCATCGGCTAGGAGACTCCTGAAAGGAAGAATGTAGAGATGAGGAAGGTTTTATTTAGACCATGAGCCCTCAGCCAGTAGGTTAGGATATACCAGAGGGTCTCTTTAAATACATACATACATACGTGTGTGTATGTGCATGCATGTGTGTGTGTTAGAGATATCACACACATATTACATACATACATATATATTATATATATATATATATAATATATATATATATATATGTAAATAGCCCCGGATTTTCCCCTATATTATTCTCCCTTTCCCTTCCTGAAAGCCATCCCTTTAAACAAATAATTTTTTTAAAAAGGAAAAGAGGAAGAAAAGAAAACTGTAGCTTCCTACAGTTAATCAACACATTTAAAATAAGTAATGTTGCATGTAATATTTCACACCAGAGGACTACGGTTCCCTCTCCCTCCCACAACAACCTCTGCAAAGAAGCAGAGTGAAGTACCACTTTTTCTTTACAATATTACAACATTCATTTTTTACTGTTTTGTGGTCTATTTACATTGTTGCAGTCATGTATATTGTCTTCCTGGTTCTGCTTAACTTCATGTCAGTTCACGTAAGTCTTTCTATTCTTCTCTACATTCCTCACACTGTTTCTTATAGCTCAGTAATATTTCATTGCATGCATGTACTATTTGTTCAGCCATTCCCCAATCAATGGGTATATACTTTGCATCCAGTTCATTATTACCACACAAAGTTCTGCTACAAATATTTTGGTGTATGTGAAGCCATTTTCTTTTTTTGTCAATAACTTCCTCGGGATGTATGCCTAGCACTGGAATCTCTGAGTCATTTTAACCATTTTACTTGTATAGCTCCAAATCTACCAGAAGACTTTACAGCTTTACCTGGTAAGAGTGCCAATCCAATAGCCAATGACAGTTCCTTCTCATTGGTTTGCCAAAACTCCCAAGAAAAGTACCCTTTTTTCCACCCTTCTTAGGAATTTAGCCATCAGCATTTATTTCAATTCTCCACCCTCCTCTATTTACCTTTCCTTGGGACTTTGTCAGCACCCATTCTCTGTTCATAGATTTGACTATCAGGATCCATATCCACCTCTAGTAATTTATAGGCCTCAGAGAAATGAAAAATATTTCCTCCCAACAAAAGTGGGGATCTCTGTTGAAAACTGACGTAGGTTTAAAAATGGAGAAGGGTCCCTTTAGAGACAGCTGAGATAAAGGAAGATGGCAGAGGTACACACATTACTCAATGTTAAAAACTCTGAAGAAGAGAAAGATTAAATAGACTATGGTGTTATGGAAAAAGCACTAGGTTGGGAGTTAAGAGGCCTGAGATCTAGTTCCAGATCTTCCACTAACAAGCTGTATGACTTTGATAAGGTCTTTATCAATCTGAGTTTCTTCATCTGTAAAATTAAGAATTTGGAAGGGATTCTCTCTGATGGTCCCTTTCAATGCTAAAATTATTTTATTCTATGGAGAAAAAAATTATCAGATGAAACTACAAAGATATACTCATGAAGAAGGAAGAGAATGAGAGAGAAGGGTCCTGAGCATTCTTTTAGGTTGCTTAATGAAATCTTACAACTACATAAAGAATCCAACAAATGTACAGAAAAAGCTGAGAGAAAAGTTGGTCGTGAAGTTGGTGGGTTTCACTCACCTTCAGGATGGCCAGGAATTTCTTCAGCTCCCCATTTTCCTTCCTTAGGACTACTAGCTCCCTAAGATGGTAATATTCAGCTTTAAGGGACAATGAAATGGAAGTCTGAATATGTACATCCCTTTGATTAAGATCTCCCTTGACCAACCCACCAAACAGAGTAGAGGTGTGAACAGTTATGACGATGATTATTAATATTTAATAGTATTTATTGAAAGTCCCTCAGGTACACTGTACTATACTATATGTTGCTCAGGTGGTCTTTCTTAGTTCCATGAGCTATCAATTAGACAATTATAGTAGAATTAGGGAGACAAAATAGATGACCACTTACCTGTTGTGCTCTTTAAATATGTTTTATTGTTGCTTCTTTTTTAAAAAAAACGTATTACTGTCATTTCCCAAGGAAACTACCACCTCCACCCCAGCATCCTCTTTCATAGACAAAAAATTACAATTAAGTAAACTACAGTGACACATTGATGATGTCTGATAGTATGTGCCTCATTGTGCACCTATAGTCTAACTTCTTCAAGGGCAAAGAAGCATATCTGATCACTAGTCCTCTGGAGTCAATATAACATTATACTGATATGATTTCTGATGGCTTTTATTGTCATTTTTCTTTATGTTACTGTGATCATTGTGTGTATGATTATTTTGGTTATGCTTTACTCTGAATCAGTTCATGCATATTTTCTTATTCATCTGAATTCTTTATTCATCATTTCTTTTTTTTGGTGGGGGGGAGAAAGGGGCTGGGCAATGGCCGAGTCACACAGCTAGTAAGTGTCAAGTGTCTGAGGCCGGATTTGAACTCAGGTTCTCCTGACTCCACAGCCGGTGCTCTGTCCTCCATGACACCTAGCTGCCCCTGCTCATCATTTCTTATGATGCAATGATATCCCATTGCTTTCATATACAACAGGTTTTTCAACCATTCCCCAGTTGGTGGGTACCTACTGCATAGGATCATGGAATCACTGCTGGAAGGGACCTTAGAAGTCATTTAGTCCATCTCATTCATTTTAGTCCATCTCATTCATTTTACAAAAGAGGTCACTAAGGCCCAGGGAAGCTAAGTAATTTGCCCTAGGTGACATAAATAATAAGTGGCAGAGGTCAAAGGAAGAGGGAAAGTCAGTCAACAAATATTTATTAAGCATCTACTATTTGAACCCGGGTCCTCTGACTCAGAGCCAGTACTTTTTTCACTATACCATGCTGCCTCACTAAACTGTTTCTTCTAAGGGTTTTTTGCTACCATAAAAGTGTTGCTATAAATAATTTGGTATATATGTGATCTTTCCCATATACACCACCACTCAATGCCCATAACTTCCATTCTACCTCAGCCATATACAAAGATGGTCATACCCTTGATTTTTACATCATCCACAAATGCACCACCTCCATGTTCAAAAATTCCAAAATTCCTTTATCTGACCACAATCTACCAACTTTTCACCTCTCCCTATGCTTTCCCTTACCAACACTACTCTTCTTCCATACCATAACCTCCAGTTCCTTCACCCTTCTGTTCTCTCCCAGGCCATTTCCCCTGCACTAGCCACACTCTTCTATTTTCTCCATCTTGACCCCTTGGAGAACCAGGTCAACTCTACACTGTCCTCTTCTCTGGAGTCCTTGGCCCCCTTATCATAGCTCCAATAGTATCCTGCCAAGCCTCAGCTTTGGGTGACTCCCACCTTCACTCCTAATACATGTACTATTGAATTTAGGTAGAGAAATCAGGCAACTGTTGACTGTGTCCACTATCAATTTATGCTACACAACCTCACCTGGGCTCTCACAGACACTGGGCAAATCCTTCTACACCTCCTTTATCAACTCACTATCCCACTCTCCATAGAGGCTCTTCTAAACCTTTTCATTCTTCCTCAAATGTCCCATGTCTTCCCTTCCCTCCACCTTCTCAGCTGAGAACTTTGCCTATTTTACAGAAAAAACTGAGGCCATTAGCTGACAGCTCCTTCTTCTCCCCTTTTCCTCACTGCATTCAGATGCCTTCTGCTACCATTTCCTACTTTACCCTTGTCACCCAACCAAGGCCCAAGGCTCCACCTGCAAAAGCCACACCATCCTATCTCATCTTCTCCAACAAACTCCTCCCTCTGCCATCTTCACTCTATTACTTATCTTCAATCTCTCCCTGTTTATTCGCTCCTTTCCTACTGACTAGAAAGACGCCCATGTCTCTTCCATTCTCAAAAAACCCTCACTTGATCCTTCTATTTCCTCTATCATTCTATATCTCTTCTGCCCTTTGTGAAAAGGCCATCTGCAATAGGTGCCTCCATTTTCTCTCCTCTCACGCTCTTCTTAACCCCCTACAATATGGCTTCTGACCTTAACATTCCACTAAAACTGCTCTCCCCAAAGTTACCAATGGTCTCCTCATTGCCAAATCCAACAGTCTTCTCAGTCCTCATTCTTCTTCTCTGTAGCCTCAGATACTGTTGATTACTGTCTTCTCTTGATACTCTAGGATTTTAGGATACCACTGCCCCCCTGGTTCTCCTCCTACCTATCAGACTAATCCTTTTCAGTCTTCTTTTCTGGATTCTCATCCAGATCAGACCCTCTAACCATTAGTATCCCATAGAGTTCTGTCGTGAGACCTCTTCTCTTCTCCCACTATACTACTTCCCTTGCTAATGTCACCAGCTCCCATAAATTTAATTACCATCTTTATACTGATAATTTTCAAATCTACCTATCCTGCCCTAACCTCTCTGCTGAGCTCCAATCTCATATCTCCAACTTCCTTTCAGATATCTAGAATTGAATTCTAGTAAATATCTTAAGCTTGACATGTCCAAAACTGAACTCCTTATCTTCTCTAAACCCTCCCCACCTCTTAACTTCCTCATTACTGTTGAGGGCGCCATCATCCTCCCAGTCTTTCAGACTTACAACCCAGGTGTCATCCTAGACTCCTCACTATCTCTTACCCCCCTCTTCCATATTCAATCTTGCCAAGAAATATCAATTTCATCTTCGTAATATCTCTCAGGTATGCCTCCTTTTCCCCTATGATACTGCCACCACCCTAGTACAAGCCTTCATGAACTCAAATTGGACTATTGCAATAGTCTGCTGGTAGGTATGCTCACCTCAAGTCTCTCTCTGCTCTAATCTATTCTTCATTCAGTTGTCAAAATGATTTTCCTAGAGTGCAGGTCTGAACATATTACTCCTCTACTCAGTAAACTCCGATGGCTTCCTATCACCTCCAGGATCAAATATAAAACCCTCTGTTTGGTATTGAAAGCCCTTTATAACATAGCCTCCCTCCCCTACATTTCCAGTTTTCTTATACCTTATTCCCTGCCATGTACTTTTCATCCAGTGATGCTGGTCTTGCTCTTCCATAAATAAGACACTACATCTCTCAGTTCCAGGCATTTTCTCTGTCCCCCATACCTAGAATGCTTTCTTTCTTTATCTCCCCCCTACTGGCCTCTCTAGCTTTCTTTAAGTCCCATTTTCTACAAGAAGCCTTTCCCAAACCCTCAATTCCAGTGCTTTCCTTTAATTTTCTTTTGTTCCTGTATATAGCTTGTTTGTATGCATTTGTTTGCTTATTGTTTCTCCCATTAGATTGTGGGTTATTTGAGGATAGAGACTGGCTTTGCCTTTTTTTTTTTGTTCCCCCAGTGCTTGGCACAGTGCCTAGCAAATAGTAGATACTTAAATATTTATTAACTAGCTTTTCTTCTGCCTTTGAGTTCTGCCACATATTACATATGTGAAGCTTGGGCAAGTTATTTCCTTGAGCCTTTCTTTCCTTATTTGAAAAATGAAGGAGTTAGACTCCACTGGCCTCTGCAGCCCCTTGCAGCTCTGGATCTATCACCCTAGAAGTGTTATCTCTGGGTCAAAGGGCATAAATAGAATCGTTTTTCTAGCATTGTTCCTAGATGTTTTCCAAAATGTTTGGATAAATTCACAACTCTATCAACACTATATTAGTATGCCTGTTTTTTCACAGTGCTTCCAACATTGATTATTTCAGTATTTTACTATCAATTTGCTGAGTGTGAGATAACACCTCAGAGTTGCTTTTTTTATATTTCTCTTATTTTAGTGATGGAGAGTATTTTTAAAATATGGTTGTTGATCATTTCTATTTCTTCTGAAAACTATTCATATCCTTTGACCACGTCTCTCTTGGGGGAATAACTCTTGGTCTTTATACAGATATATTAGCATCCATTACCTATGTATGTTGGAAATCAGACCTTTATCAGAGATTTGATGCAAAGTTATTTTTTTCCCTAGTCAATAGTTTCTCTCTGTGTTCTAATTTTATTTATTTTGTTCACACAACTGCTTTGTTTCACTATGAGTTTTCCCTAAAACCAAGTATCTAAGAGTTACCTTCTTCCCTTCTCCTATGTTTTTAATGTGACCTTTTTGTGTTGGTTAGAGTCACATCTATTTGGAGCTTATTTTGGCATATACTGCAAGATACTGATTTAAACTCAATTTCTGACAAATTGCTTTCTAGTTACCAAAAGTTCTGGTTGAATAGCAAGTCCTTCCTCCAGCAGTTTCTGACCTTGGATTTAGCAAGCATTGGGTTAGGGTTGTCAATTACTTACTTGCTCATCTAGTATATGTTATAATTTCATGGGCCTTCTCTCTCCCTACCCCTCTCCAACCCAGATAAATTAGTCTCTGTTAAAACATAAAAATGTCTGGGAAAAGAGACTGAGTATTATCAGATATTTATATGTGTAAAAAATTCATGTGCTTTTAGAAGTTATAGGTTTTGGTAGAGGTGAATGAGGAGAGCTAAAGGAAAGGAAACACTAAAGAGGAAAAAAAGTATAAGGAAATATAAGGTAGGAATAATAAAGATTCTTTGCCTACTTCACAACTACCCTGAGTGTCAACCTTGGTAATGAGAATACCTTCTCTAAAAGGAAAATTACTAAAGTAACCTGGGACACTTTTGAGAGGTCTGGGGAAGGTCACTTACTTGTCCTGACTGGCCACTGTCCGTTGGGCCTCCTGCATGGCGGCTTCTGACTTAGAAAGTCTCTGTTTATAAAAAGTGATAAGCAGATCTGTCTGTTTTTTCTGGAAACTCCAAACCTGCTAGGGGTAAAAAGCCCTAGTCAGGTTCCAATATAGACCATTTTTTTAACAGCTCACCAACTCATATTCAATATCTAATCATTCAGAGTCCCATGAACTAGAATAATTCAAGAAGCTAGAAAGTTGAAGATTGGGGATAAAACATGACACCATTCACTTTCAGGATGCTAAGGCCAAATATTGATGCAGCTGAATAGCCTGGTAAAAATCTAACCTAATTACCTGAGAGGGCTATCTATAGCAATAGTGTTCTAATAAGCCCAACACCATTGTGAGAATACATAAGGGAACACAAAACTGGTTTCTTATTTTGTTTGGTCCTCCTGCCTTAAATCGCTTCCTAATCTAATTCATCCTCCATTCAGGTGTCAAGCTGCTCTTCCTAAAGAGTAAATCTTACTATGATATCCCCCCATTCAATAAATCCCAGGGGCTCCCTATTATCCCCAGGTAATATAAACAAAGGATTATATACACATCTATTTTTTAAATTAATTTATTTTTAGTTTTCAATATTCACTTCCATAAGATTGGAAGTTCTAAATGTGAGTTCTAAATTTTCTCCCCATTCCTCTCCTCCCCCCTCCCCAAGATGGCATGCAATCTGGTATAGGCTCTACATATATATTCATATTAATTTTCACATTAGTTATGTTGTAAAGAAGAATCAGACCCAATGGGAGGAATCATGAGAAAGAAGAAACAAATGAAAAAAAAGAGAGAGAGAGGGAGAGAGAGAGCAAATACTATGTTTCAACCTGCATTCAGACTCCACAGTTCTTTTTCTGAATGTGGATAGCATTTTTCCATCATGAGTCTTTTGGAGTTGTCTTAGATCCTTGCATTGCTGAGAAGGGCTAAGTCTATCAAAGTTAGTCATCAAACAATGCTGCTGTTACTGTGTACAATGTTCTCCTGGTTCTGCTCATTTCACTCAGCATCAGTTCATATAAGTCTTTCCAGGTTTTTCTGAAGTCTCCCTGCTCATCATCTCTTATAGCACAATAGTATTCCATTACATTCATACACCACAACTTGTTCAGCCATTCCCCAACTGATGGCATCCCCTCAATTTCCATGACACCATAAAAAGAACTGCTATAAATATTTTTGTACATGTGGGCCCTTTCCCATTTTTATGATCTCTTTGGGATCCAGACCTATAAGTAGATATTACTGGGTCAAAGGATATGCACATTTTTATAGCCCTTTGGGCATAGTTCCAAATTGTTCTCTAGAATGGTTGGATCAGTTCAGAACTCCACCAACAATGCATTAGTGCTCCAATTTTTCCACATCTTCTCCAACATTTATCATTTACCTGTTTTGTCATATTGGCCAATCTGATAGGTGTAATGTGGTACCTCAGAGTTGTTTTGATTTGTATTTCTCTAATCCATAACGATTTAGAGCATTTTTTATGTGACCATGGAGAGCTTTAATTTCTCCCTCTGAAAACTGCCTATTCATATCCTCTGACCACTTATCAACTGGGGCAAAGACCTTTTCAAGCCCCTCAACCTCTTTGATTTTTCTGTGGTTTTCAATATTGTGGATCATGTCTTCCTCTTGGATGCTTTCTCTTCCTGTGCCTTCTATGACCAATAACTCTCAATTTTCCTCCTACCTGGCCGATTGTCCCTTTTTAGTCTCCTTTGCTGGTTCATCTTCTTCAGACAAAATAGATTTTATTGTCCCCAAGACTCTCTGCTGGGATTTCTTCTCCTCTAATATCTCACTTGGTGAATGCATCGTCTCCATGGGTTTAAATTAAAACTTTTACACAGATAATTATCATGTTTTTATCTAGCCCTAATCTCTCTTCTGAACTCAAATTTCCTATCTCCAACTACCTAATGAACACCTCAACTTGGATGTCAAACTAATACCTCAAACTCAACATGTTCCAAATTGAATTCATCTCCCCCAACTCAAATTTTCCTTTCCTTCCAAATGTTCCCATTTCTATTTTTTTCCCATCACTCAAGTTCAAAACTGTGTAATAATCTTTGATTCTTCTTTCTCTTTAATCCTTCATATCCAATTAGCTGTCAAATTCTGCCCACTCTGCCATATAGGATTATAGATTTAGAGCTGCAAAGGACCACAGAGATCCCACAGTACAACATTTCACTTCATGGATGAGAAAACTTGAGGCTCAGAGAAGTTAAATGACTTGCCCAAATCACACTGAGAATGTTCTAGAACCGATGAAACTAACTGCTGCAATACATTCCATAAAGGCTAGGCTCCATAGGGCTACGACCTATTCATAATGTATATAAATATGAGGTATAACAGTAGGTCATAACAGCTATATTTCACTAGGCCATAACAGATATATAAATACTAGCTTTGATTCAAAATCCAGCATTATTTCCACTGTACCAAATTGACTTTTAAAACTTTCACCTTTTCCACATCTCTATTTATCCCTTTCTCTCTGTTCAAGCTGTCTTACTTCTTGTTAAGGCCTTCACCGGCTCTAACCAAGAGTACTGGAATATCCTCTTAACTGTTTTCCCTGCCTCCAGCTTCTCTCCTTTCTCATCTATTCTCTAGAAAGCTACCAATATAAATTTCCTATGGCACAGGTCTAACCATGTCACTTCCCCATTCAAAACCCTTCAGTGGTTCCCTACTGGACTCTAGGATAAAATGCAAATTCCTAGCCTAACATTTAAGGTCCTATACAATCTGTTTCCAAATTACCTTTTCACCATTATTTTATATCATGCCCTTCATATACTCTATGTTCTAGTGAAACTATAATACTAGTTGTTCTCAAATTTGATATCTCATGCTTTGCACATTCACTCAGGCTGTTCCCCATTCCTGGAATCAATTCTCTCTTCATCTCTGCCTTCTAGAAAGAATTTATATCTTTTCCCAAGGCTCAGTTTAGTCACCAATTCTTCCCTGTAACCTTCCCCCATCTCCCTTATTAGCAGTGTTCTTTCCAGCCTCAAACTTTTCCTAGAGTACTTTGTAGATCTACAGCCACAATTATTCCAACTTACATTATACTTAGATGTGTACATGTCATCTCTCCACTAGAATGTAAACTCCCTGAAGATAAGATGTGCCATTTTTAAAAAGCGTTTATAAAGAAGTGTACCTGATTTATTAGCCAAAAAATGGGGAAGACCTGGGACACAAAGTCAGGAAAGATACTGCCTGAATGGTATGTTCATATTTTGACAAAGCATTTAAAAGGTAGACTTAGGATTGTGTAGTCCACAATATATATAAAGCACTTTAAGTATTTCTTTTTTAAATTACTTTTTTTTCAATTAGTAATGATCACCCTCTTTCCTTCTCATATCTCTATACCCACTCCCATTGAAAAAGAAAAACAAAACCCTTATAACAAATATGCAAATATACATATGTAAAAAAGATTTCCACCACGGCCATATCCAAAAATATATATGCCTCAAGCTGTATCCAGAGTCCATCACCCCTCTCTGCAAACTGGTTGGAAGCATGCTTCATCAAGCATGTTTGGTCCTTTGGAGTAATGGTTGGTCACTGCATTGATCAGATATCTTGAGTCTTTTAACAGTGTTTTTCTTATAAAGTTGCAATCATTGTAAAGTAGTTCTCCTGGTTCTGCTAACCTCCTTAACATATATAATTTGTTCAGCTACTCCCCAATTAATAAGCACCCACTTTGTTTTCAGTTTGTTCCTACAACAAAAAAGGGCTGCTATGAATGTTTTTGCATATATGAGTTCTTTTTCTCTTTCTTTTATCTCTTTGTGCTATATTCCAAGTAGTTGCATCACTGGGTCAAAGGGTGGGCAGTTTAGTGAATCTTGGGACATAGTTCCAAATTGCTTCCCAGAATGGCTGGACCAATTCACATCTCTACCAACAATATATTAGTGTGCCTATCTTTTGATAACCCCTCCAACAGCTGTCATTTTTACTACTCTAATGGGTGTGAGGTAAAACCTCAGAGTAGTTTTAATTTGCTTTTATCTTACTACTAGTAACTTGGAGCACTTTTCCTTCTGTTGTTGATAGTTTGCTTTTCTTCTTTTGAGACCTGTATTTACATAATGTTTAACCATTTGTATATTAGGAAATGGTTCTTATTTTTATATATTTGTGTCAATTCTTTACAAATCTTAGATATCACATTTTTCTCAGAAAATTTTAAAGCAAAATTTCCCCCTCTTCTTCCCTCTCCTCCCCACCCCAGTTAACTGCTTATCTTTTAATTGATTTTGTTTGGGCAGAACCTTTTAAATTTTAATAAAATCAAAATTGTACATTTTATCTTTTATAATTCCATCTATCCCTTGTTTTGTCGAGAACTCTTCTATCAATAACTGTAGAAAGTATTTGCTTCAGTGTTCCTCCAATTTGTTTATGATGTGACTTTTTATATCTAGGTCACATATGTTTTTGAAGCTTATTGTGGTCTATAGTATGAGATGTTGCTCTAAATGTAATTTCTGCCAGAGTATTTTCCAATTTTCCCAGCAGTACTTGTTAACTAGTCAGTACTTGACCCAGAGGTTGTGGTGTTTGGGTTTATCAAACACAATGCTATAATCAATTGTTTCTAAATCTTGTATTCTTAATTTATCCCACTAACAGTTTTTGTTTTTTTAACTGGTACTGAATAGTTCTGATGTTATCTGCTTCGTTGTATATTTTAGGATTTGGTACTATTAGGTCCCTTTCCCTTCTATTTTTCCCATTATTTCCCTAGAGATTCTTGACTTTTTTTCCCCCTTCTGATGAATTTTGATATTGCTTTTTCTAGTTCTATAAAGAAACCCATTGGTAGCTTGATTGGTATGAAATTGAGTAAATAAATTTAGACAGCAGTGTCTTTTTTATTTTGATATAACTCAATCATGTAATTAATATTTCTCCAGTTATTACATCTATCTTTATTTCATTAGAGAGTATTTTGTGGTTGTATTCATATAATTCCTATTTACATCTTGCTATTTGGACTCTGATATTTTCATAAGCGTGGATGG